AATTTTTATGAGTACTAAATGATATAAAACTATAATAAACAACATTAGCTAGGCGTGGCGGCACATACCTGTAATCCCAGCACTCAAGAGGCTAGGACAAGAGACTTGTAAGTTTGAAGCCAGCCTATGCTACCTAGTGAGTTCAAGACCAGCATAAACTACAGAGCAAAATTTCATCTGAAGAAATCAAAGACAAAGAACAAAAACATCTTGGTTCCCTTCAGTAATGACGGTTATTGACACGTACAGATTTTTTTCTCTATATGTATATGAGACATACATATCTTTTCTCCAAACATAAATGAGGGCAAAATCTACTTTTAATAGTCCTGATAAAACACCATCAAAAAAGTTCACAATATGTATAGGATCACGATATTTTCAAGTGTAAATTCTTTACTAGCAATGGGGAAAGAAAGTGAAAAAAATAACAAGCTGCATGTGGAAATTCCAGCTACACAGTGGGGAAACTGAAGCAGGAAAATTCTAAGTTTGAAGCAACACAAAGACTCTGTCTCTAAATCAGTAAAAAAGCAAACAGAAAAATAAAAATAAACAGGAGTTTAAACTTGATGCTATTTTAGATTCTTATTTTATAGCAACCAATGTTTTGATTATCAGAGAAATAAAAAAGTCATAAAATATACCATCTCAAGTGGAATAACACTACAGTAACAATTTTAAAAAGACAGTAACACTCATATAGGACTCTATGATGCACTTTATTATTTTGTTCATCTCTTCACTTATTTCTTCAATGAGTCAATTGGTTAATAAACATTTGAGGTCCTATCACACACCAGACACTGCTGCGAACTAAAACTAAACAAGACAGATGCAACCTCTAATGCAGTCGTGATCCAGTTGATTCTCTTTCTAGCATGCCTAGACTTTCTCTGTACTTCATTAAAAAAGCAACAATACTCATGAATTTATTGACTCTAAAGTATAATTAGCTGATATGAATTGAAAGTATTTTGCATTTTAAAAAGTGATAAAGAATAATAAATAACTGTAATGGTAGCATTTCAGAGGAATGGATGAATTTTCTCTGGTGTCTTCCTAATGTGTTGACTTCAGATCAATTCAGTCCAGTTTTTCTTTTTTACATACACTTTTCTCAACTTACTTATTCCCTCAAAACTGCTGTTATTTCCTGCCCTCTGGCTACCACCCATTCCGTTGAAATGGACTTAAGAACACAAATATCACTCCCAGTAAATCCAGCAATTTTTCAGTAGAACTCTTTCCCCTTTATCTGTTTGCAGCATTGTAATTCATTTAATTATTCCCTCTGCATAAAAAGGCTATTATATTGAGATGTATGTAACACTAAACTTGTTTAGCTCTATTATATTGAGATGTATGTAACACTAAACTTGTTTAGCTCCCTTTCTTTCCTCTCCTCTGTGGAATCTTTTGTTTTGCTTTCTTTAAAACTTTTTTCTTTTGATCTTCTAATTGCATAAGTTCTTCAGGCTACTCCTTGAGCAAGTGACATAGTTATGACATAGCCAGAGACCACGCTAGGGACAAACTCCTGGGCCCTTACCCCTGTTACTCATTAAGAGAAAAATTTGTGGTTTTTTCTAAGAGAGGGAGTTAAATGTGGCTTTTTGATAAAAACTGTGACTCTTCATTTAGCCCCACAAATGCCACATAGGTAACTAAAAGTGGAACACAACTTGGCCTTCATTTTGTAAAACCCTGTACCAGGATAAATATGTTAGTCATTTAGCCAGAGGATCTGTCCCAAAGTTGGCAAAGTAAGGTTTTCTAGCCTTAAACTTTCCTAATCTATCTCATCACCCTTTAAGAATAAGGACACCAGGGTAGGAGTTTACAGGGATATTTCGCTATACCCAGGATCTCCACAGCCCTAAACCAGTGGCGGCAAACCTACGGCACGCATGCGCAGTGAGCTCTTCGTGTCGTTGACCGCTATTATCTAGAATATATAAAGAACTCAAAACAATCCGCACCCGCAAATATAAAGACCTGATTCAAAAATGGGCATCCGAAATGAACAGACATTTCTCAGACAAAGAAGTAAAAGCAGCAAGTAAATATATGGAAAAATGTTCCACATCACTGGTCATTCGAGAGATGCAGATGAAAAAAACATTGAGATTTCACCTCACCCCACAAAGAATGGCTGCTATCAAGAAATCACACAACAACAAATGTTGGCGGGGTTGTGGGGAGAAAGGAACCCTTCTTCATTGTTGGTGGGAGTGCAGACTGGTGCAACCACTGTGGAAATCAATATGGAGATACCTCAAAGGGCTTGTACTGGAGGTTCCATTTGACCCAGCCATCCCTCTACTGGGTATCTTTCCAAAAGAACTAAAAGAATCATACCACAGTGATATATGTGCACTCATGTTTATAGTGGCACAGTTGGTAATAGCTAAAATTTGGAAACAGCCTATTTGCCCATCAGTTGGAAACTGGATAAAGAAGATGTGGTTTTTCTATAAAATGGAATATTACTCAGCCATAAAGAATGAGAAAATAGATTCATTCATAGGAAAATGGATACATATTGAGGATCTACTCCTAAGTGAAATAAATAAGTCACACATGTGTAAATACTGAATAGTTTCTCTGGTGTGAATAAACAGCAATAATACATAAGATCCTAATAAATTACTGACTTGTGAAATGGGAAGAAAGGGGCTAAAGGTATAGGGAAGGTGGGATGGGTAGGGGTAAGGGTAATAAGGGAAAACAAAAAAAATATGTGATAATGAAAAGATGGAAATAAAGTGTTTGTAGATGGGGAGGGGAGGAGGGGGTAAAGGGAGGGCAGGGACAAGGGGAAAAAATGAGAACCAAGACCTGTCATGTAGAGGTAGGTACAAGATCCCCATGATGAATGTAACTGTAGTGTATACCTAAAATGTACCAATAAACTCAATTAAAGTTAAAAAAAAAAAAAGGTTCACCATCACTATGGTAAACCCGTGGTCGCCTTGGGTTCTGGCTGAGGTTCATATGAATGAAATTGGCCCTCAAGTCATGAGGATTCAACGTGAGCTACAAGACAGGACTGAGATAATGATCATCCAGAACCCAGCCCACTACTGCCCCTAAAATTGGCCCACAGTCCTCCTTGGAAGTCCAGTCTGATCTCTTCATCAGTGTGCCCTCCCCAGCTACTACTCAGGCTGGAGTCCTTTCTTTATCTTCTGAAACCTTTCAGCTAAAGCTTTAGTCTCTAAATTCATATGGTGACTTTAGTTTTAATCTTACTAAAGCAAGGACCCATACTAGCCAATGACAAAAGTGATACCAATATTTACAGTGGTCACTGGTGCTCTATTATTTATAATTTTATAAAGTATATCCTACAGAACTTAATTCCCACAAACTTCATTACAAAGCAAACATTCGGGAACCATGGCAAACACTTCTCCCTCACCTGTGCATTCTATAGTCTTTAAAATTGAATGTTTTCTTTCCTAGTCTTATTTCCAGATAACATGAACACATGACACAGTTCTGGCCAATGAGGCATAAACTGAAGTTTATCAACCTCTCCTTTTAGGGAGAAGAGGGAGTTAATGGGGATTGTACCCAGGAGTGCTGAGCTACATCTGAGCCCCTTTTAATTTTTTTAGTATTACTATTATTCTGAGACCAGGTTGGCAATCCTGTCTCAACCCTCCATGTAGCTGGGATTACAGGTGTGCACCACCACATCCCACTCTTACTTTTTTAAAGAAGAGTTTAGAGCAGGAACTGCAGTGGATGTTTTGGGATTTGGAAGGAATGACTAAATTGTAGAAACATCAACCTTCTTAAGCAAGAGCATTAAACCTGGCCAGCAACTACTTACCTCCTGAGTTCTTGCTACCTAAGAAGAATAAATCCCTCTTCCCTTGTACTTCCATAATCAAATAATATATACACCTTGCAGCTGAACATACTCTAAACTACATATAAAATGCTACATACTATGGGTCCTCATTGGCATGTTCAAGGATCTGAGCAACGCTCAGCAGAAGAAATCTGTTGAATTTTAATATTTCATCTTCTCAACTTGTTTAATCAAGAAACTCTTTTCCTCCTGTACTAACCATTAATATCTCAAGAACCACAATTCCCTACACCTTCTTTTTTTCAAAGTGTGATTCCTGGACTGGGAAGTTCTGCATCATCGGGAGAATTGTTAGAAAACCAGAGTCATAGGTCCATCCCAGAATAAGAATTTATATTTTAATAAGATCCCTGGGTGATTCATATGACAAACAATAATTAAATTTAAAAAGTGAGAAAGCCTACAAATAGAGTAACACTCACATAGGACTCTGTGATGTATATTCATTATTTTGTTCATTTCTTCATTTATTTCTTCAATGAGTCAGTCAGTTAATACATATTTAAGATCCTACCACATGCCAGAAATAAATGAATTTTTAAATTTAATTATTATTTTAAGTGTTTCTCTGAGGATTACAGAAGTAAGCATTCAAAATGCACAAAGTAAGCATTCAAAAATAACAAGTTGTGGTTATTAGTGAAGTAGGCATTAGAAAACAATAATAATAGATGTCTTTGAAATCATAAATCACATGATGATGTTAAGATTAGTTGTGCTTTATCCTCTAAAGCACTGCGTCTTTAACTCTTTTGTCATATGAATCACCTGGAGATCTTATTATTATTTTGTCTTGACTCAGACTTTTACTCTTCTGGATCTATCCAGAAGAACATCAGGACAGAGGCAAAACATTAACTTAGCATAGCAGCCTTGAGCCTTGGATTTCAGTCCTTGTTTCTCTTCTTGTTAACTTTGTAACTTTTAGAAGTCACAGAAACTTAGATCCATAAATTTTCAGTGCTGTTAAGCACTAATAATAATGTGTCCCAGGGCTGGCATAAGACTTTATATGAGGCCTATGGTAGAAATGCATAACCTACATAACATCCAAAAATGTAAGTAGTGCTATATAGTGATTAACATCCAGAGTTGTGCTTAAAATCTGAGCTCAAAGCCCAGCTCATGTTTATTGTCTATGCAGTTGATTTGGCAATCTATTATGTGCTAAATTGTGTCATTTTCTTGTCATTTGCATTAAAACTAAATTGTTATGCATCTATGCTTGTGTTGTCTCCTAAATCATGGTATATAGCCTATGCTTTTATTTAATTTTTTTGTACAACATAAAATTTATCATAGCCCTTTGCACATAGGAATTCAATAAATATTAATATAATCTACATTTATTTGGAAAATAATGCATATTTGTTGTACAAAAAGTGCACTAAGTACTAAAAGCAAGTTAAAAAAGAGAAAAGAAGCACACATAATAATTGGCATCATTATGTGTATGTTCAGAACTGCTATTTTGCAAATTATTTTAAATAAGATGAATTGCAAAAATAAAAGCCCAACAGGGGACAATTAAACAATATTTGGAATAAAATCATTTGGCCTAATTTTCATAACCACAAATTTCAGAGAATACCACCAGCCATGCCAGGTGTACCAGACAAGCCCATCGTCAGTTTCAGCAGTGTAGGGGCCCCTGTAGTAGACACCATTTAGGTTTGCAGAGTGACACCTAGTGGGAGAAAGAGAGAAAGTAGAACAATCAGATGAAAAAGTGCCTTTCAGAAACCTATCTGGCTAGCAAATGATCAAAATTTTTTAACTGTGACTACTATCATTTCATAGATAAGAGACCTTTTTAATTTTCAAAAGCTGAAACATTTCTATAAACAGATCAGCTTTTTTGGGTTTTTAAATTATTTATTAGTACATGTTTGCAATGCATAATTCCTTGAGTGGAGTTGGTACATGAATATAACACACTTTAATTCCTTTCTTCATCTCCTTTCTCTCCCCATCCTCTATCTCTTTATCTTGCTATTTAAAAAGGATCTTTCTCCCAACTACCTATTATCTTTCATTTGTTCTTTAATTATATTTTGTTTTTCTCATCTTAGAGAAAACCATGAAATAGTTAAGCTTGCGTGTCTGATTTATTTCAATTAACATTATGGTCCCAAGGTGAGATTGGCTTTTTAAAGTATTAGGTCTACAGGTGTGGTGGTGCACACTTGTGATCCCAGAACTTGGGAGGATCTCTCTGAGTTCAAGGCCAGCCTGGGCTACATAGCAAGACTTTGTCTCAAATTTAAAAATAAAATAAAATAGTGGGTTTTAGCAGCATGATAAATTTGAGGATCCAACCCAGGGCACTTGGAGTGTACATATTGAAAAACATTTGAAAAGCATTTTGGTTCCTATTAGCCTTTAAACCAAAAAGAAAAGTAAGGGGGAAAAGATCCTGTTACCTCCAACTTTATATCCTCCTCCTCTGAACAGAGTTCATCTCAGGCTTAGCAAGAGTGGCCTGGGTTAACAAAGCAAGGCGAGGGGCAAGGGGGTCTGCACAGTCTCCCCAGGCCAATTTGCACTTGCAGGTTCATCAATAGGTTGCCAAGAGGTGACTCTCCTTACCCGCCTCCCTTCTTCCTCCGCCTTTTTAAATCACTACCATATCGATTATTTTCATCGCAAGAGTAAGCAAACAAAACCTAAGCCAACATTAAAAAATTTCCCAGACATTAACCAATAATTATCTGAGTTGAGTTAATTTTTTACACATATTTCACTTATTAGAGAAGTTTCTTAGGTTATCAGACTATTTTGGTGGGGGATTATGGGGATCAAACTCAGGTCCCTGTGCTCGAGAAGCAGACAGCAGAACCACTGAGCTAAATCCCCAGCCCCTATCATACAGTTTCTAAATAACGCTCTTTCTCCTTTGGAGTCTGTGTGTGTATTTGTCCCTGGTATATGCAAATTACATATGAGTATATGGTAATTTTTTATGTTGCATTATATACTATTAACTGCCATATATTTCTTTATTGATATAACTAAGGAGAACATCCAGAAGGAGTAGATATGAAAATTTATGCAAAGAAACCAAATTATTGAATAAAAACATAATATACCTGTAAACATAGAGTGGCTGTCTTGGGTCACTTAGCTTCTTAGTGCTTTAATTTGCTTTTATTGACCATCCTGGAGGGTTTCCCAATTTAAATGGATGTGACTAATTGAAACCACAAACACTAAAACTGTGAGTGTTAAAAGTCTGCCGCTTTTAAAACACCACAGAAAGCAGTATTAAAAAAGAAAACACTGGGACTGGGGATTTAGCTCAGTGGCTTGTACCAGACTTGCAAGTGTGAAGTGCTAAATTCAATCCCCAGTACTGGGTGGGGGAAAAAAAAACATTGTAAATTGAGCCTGCAGAATGAATATTTTGCATATCTTTATATGGAGTCATCTGCCATATAAACTTACTTTTATATTTGCTCTGTAATTTAAAGTCTCTTAGGAACTTTATTCTATGGTGAACCACTTAGTATTCTGAGGCCAGTTTTCCAGAATCTTCCAGGTTCCAGAGCAGTCGGTCAGTGGATCCCTGGTCAAGGAGTAGCTGCAATCACTCATTATATGCCAGCAAGGCTGCGAAGACAGCACTGCTCAGTGACTGGTTTGCTATGTGAGGAATAGTTATGAAGTGCAAACATTTCATGTACATTAGACAAGACTGGGCTTGTTGAGGGTGGTATGGCCATGGACAATTTCATGTAAATTAGACCAACTATGGGACAGGGACAACAGAGAGGAAGGGAGAAAAGAAAGAATGGTAGAGTTGAACTACAGTAGTATCTTGCATGGTGAAAGTAGAACTAAATTCTGAAAAATTTTTAATTTTTCTCCAAGTTCTTTGATTTTGCCTGGGTGGCTCTAGCTGCTGATTTGCCCTTCTTTGTTCGCCCTGAACATATGTCTCTAAAGTCAGGTAAATAATTTGCCCACATTAATGTGTGCTTGTCATCCTTCAAGGTGTAAAAAAAAAAGCCAACCAACTGGGTAAAATACAAACCTTTGATCTCATGGTAATATTAGTGATTAATTATGTATATGAAATTCTGTTCAAAATCAAACATTTTTGTATGGAGGATTAAGGATTGAATCCAAGGTGCTCTACCACTAAACTATATTCTCAGCCTTTTTGTTTTTATTCTGAAACAGGCGTCCTCCTGCCTCAGCCTCCTGAGTGGCTGGGATTAATGTGTGCCATCATGCCTGGAAAAATCAAAGATTATTATTTTTTGTTTATTTCTTTGTTTGTTTTTACTTTTGAGACACCGTGCCTGGCTAAAAGCAAGCACTATTGATGTTTGCAGATGACTTTGTGAATTATGTCAATTTTCAATAATATTAACTTCCATAACACGCCACACTACTTTCAATTCATTATATCTGTACTAGATCTACCACTTTAAAATCAACACATCCCAATAACTGACGTTAGAATGAGGACTTTTGTGATTTTAAGGAAAATTAACACGTCTGACTTACCTCCATTCAGTAGGATAGAGGATTCTAAAATGCTTTAAAAATACATTGAGAGACAGAGTCAAAGTTTGAATTCTGGGATTTAAATGGATAATCCTCAAGTACACAGAAAACCTGACACTCTAAAAAATACCAAAGATCTTATAATGGAAAGTTTAAATGTCGAGTGATTTTTGAGGTGGCTTTAGCATTCTAATAAAAAAAGAGGAGGAGGGGGTGAAGGGAGGGCACGGACAAGGGGTAAAAATGAGAACCAAGACCTGTCATGTAAAGGTACAAGATTATGAGAAAATGAACAATGGAAATAAAGTGTTTGTTAATGGGGAGTGGGTGAAGGGTGAAGGGAGGGCACGGACAAGGGGTAAAAATGAGAACCAAGACCTGTCATGTAAAGGTACAAGATCCCAATAATAAATGTAACTGTTCTGTATACCTAAAATGTACCAATAAACTCAATAAAAGAAAAAAAAAAGACTGGGGGCTCTTTGCTAGATGTTCATATCTGGAGGATAGATAATCTTAGACTATAACCGTACTCCTGTGGTGAATTTTTCGGTAAAGTACTTGGGCATATTGTGCACATAGTTCATACTCTATCGCACAGCATCTAAGCTTTATAGATGCCAGAGGGTGACAGTGTACCATAAAAACTACAGGCAGTGAGTTAGACCACATTTAGGTATCTTTTTGTTGGAATTGATAGGAAAGATGCATCTCAGAATTGTTACAACACCTTTAGGCAGTGCCTATCAGGACTCGTCAGTAGGCTGGCAGCAGAGGGGCAGAAATAAGCACACAGGGAGAGATGTGAGCAAAGTGTTCAGATCTATATTTGATGAGAGGAATCAAAGTGTCTTCTAGCTGTCCTGCAGAAATACATTAATAAATTAGTGGGAATTGCCTTCTTGCTAATATCTTAGTAGTAAAGGTAACTCTGGCACATGGCTTGGTGTACTTGGTTGCTTTATGTCTCATTTTAAATTGAGCATTAAGGAAATACGGTATTGTTACTGTAACTTTGCCAACACTTCTATCTAAAGGCCTAATGCCGTTTTTAATCTTCAGAGAAATTGTTGTTCCGAAGAAAGTCAGGACTACAATTTTTCTCTAACAGATTGAGTTGGTGTAGTGTGTTCTTAGTTATCAGAGATACTCTTGTAGCTTTGGGATTTTGAATTGATGAACATTCATGATGTGTAGAAAAGCATGACACACACTGTACAAACTCTATCACAAAATGGCTGTCGTATATGTACACGCAGGACCTAGAAGAACACATCCAGCTAAGCTGCTTATGATTGATAATGACTTTGTTCTTTGCTTCTTGTGTTTTTGTTTCCTGTAATACATGTATTAACTTTAGAAAATAAAAATTATTTTTAAAACTCAAAAAGAAAGTTCATGTGTTGCCCACTGGTTGGAGGACATCTGCTTTGCAGAGAGCAGGCCCATAGGGTCATTTCTAGGAAAAACTGCAAAAAGCTTTCATTTCTTCTGCCCTAAATTTGTGATCACAACAATGAAGCTATCTGGAAACCATCTCAGATAGAAAACAGTTAAAGGAATCAGGGGTGTTTGGCCCAAAGAAGAGAAAATACTAAGGAATGCAGTAAATCACTTTTCTTTCAGCACCTGAAGAACTGTGTTGGAAAGGAATTACAATTACTGTCTAGCTACAGAGGAAATGCCTGACAAGGAATAAGAAGGTAGATTGCAGGTCCATAAAAGGAAAAACTGCACAATTAAAAATAAAATGATCTTGCTGATAAAGTAACATGGAAGTGTCCAATCAGAGGGTGGGATTGGCTTTTGGGAATATGATAGAAAAATTTTCTTTGGGAGAGCTTGGATTCGATGAACTAAAGAAAGACAGTGATTGAAAAAGTACTATACTGTACTACACAGGAAAATATAGCAATAACAATGGCAATTTTGGGCCGGGGATTTAGCTCAGTGTTGCTGCCACCTTCCTCCCAAGTGCAAGGTCCCGGGTTCGATCCCTGGTACCAAAAAAACCCCAAAAAACAAAACAAAACAAAATGGTAATTTTGCATTATATGAGAAAGTAAAGCACTAGTTGATTGTTACAATGCCAAATACTTATAACTCTTTCATAATTCAGTTTGCAGTTTTTTAAAAAGTAGTAATTTGATTTATTTCTATGACATATATTTCAAATATCACTAATGTGCACAATGAAAAATATTCCATGGCTAAAGAATCCTAATAAGAACAATTACATAATAATGCTAATATTTCAGTAAGATCAACATGACCTCATACATTATAATTATGCCTACCAACGAGATTGTCATAAACACCTCTACCACAATGATTAAAAGGCATCAGACCTGTTAAACCACCAGCCAGCCTGATCTTCCTCTGCACAGTTCCCTTGGTAGTTGTCATTGTCTCTGTCCCATGTGCTAAACTTCATCCTTTGGTGACTGGCCCACCACTGCATCTCTGGGTTAAAATTCCCTGCAAGGGAGTCTCCAGCCGTTCCAGAATATTCTCCAATATTCAAAACGTAGGAATTCTAGAGGAAAAGAGGCAAGTTCCAGTATCAGTAGCCACCATTTAAAAAACATGTTTGTTTAGTAATTAAAAGAATAGGCCCTTTTGTATATTGTTATCTCTATTGATTTCAGTGTTATGTTGTATGTTTTAAGTATGGTGTTACTTATTTGGAAATTTTTGTACCTTTTCATCTCCAACTTTAAAACTTTTATATTGTGCGTAACGGCTATTCTTTTCAAAATCTTCAAGGTCTATTTTTAAAGTGTAGTCTCCTGAAAAACAAAAAGAAACAAGATTATAGTTTTTTAAAATGTGTGACATGACATCCACTACCGAGGTTTAACAATAATTTATAGCTGTATTTGACTTTTACCATTTCCTCTGTCAAAAATCAGTCTGTATTTTTGTTTGTTGGTTTGTTTGGTTTTTTTTTTTTTAGGTTTTTTTTGTGTGTGACAGGGGCTGGCTATGTAGCCTACACTGGCTTTGTACTCAGTAATCCTCCTGCTTCAGCCTCCCTCCCAAGTGCTGGGATTACAGGCGTGCACCACCTCACACGGCTAAGAAGCAGTCTTTGAAGAATAAGCAGTGCCCCCACGGCACTTAAAACACGAATCCTTTATTGTTTGCTTTACTTGAAAAATCTATCATAGATTAAAACTAGTATAGTTCAGTAGGTAATGAACAACAGAAAATGTAGTTTTAATAGAGTATGAAGTCTCACAATGAAAGGATAGAAGTTTTAAAATTTAACAATGTATCTGTTTTCTTAATTTAAATAAGAATCTTGATCCTAAAAATATGTATTTACTATTAAAAACATTTTATAATCTCTACTCGCCAGGCTAGTCATAGCCATTGTTGCCTAAATATCTATGAGCTTGTTTATTTTTCCTGATAATATAAAAGACCAGCTAGCAAAACCTTTGAGGACCCTTTGGGGAAGAAATATGAATCCTGGGAGTTAGGTGAAAACTGTCTTTGATATAGGCTCATTTAAGAGAATGTTAGCATCAAAGTGTGTGGAGTGGGTGACATTTAAAGGGAATATCAGAGACAGTAGAGGAACATTCTCCAGATTTCTGGAATCCCAACATTCTTGACTCGCAAATGGCCATAATTACTGGAAAATACACTAATATGAATGGCTTTGAGACAAAAGGTATCTTTGAAGAGTTGATATCCGAATGTAAAAGCATATTTAAAATAAACAATTTATTTGTCCTGTTTTATTTATACATGCTAAAAATTAAATATGACAGAAACAAATCTCAAAATATCAAATAAAAGAGGTACTTTGATGACCATAACATTTCAGATGATAAAAAGGCATTATCTGAAAAAAGCGACTGAAATAGCTATTCTTTCAAGGAATTATCTGTTTCCTATTGTCCCACTGTTTGTGAATAATAAAGACTACTCTTTTTCAACAACAAAACCATTGTCAAGAGCAGAGAAAGTTAGAAATAAATGAACTATTCACTGATATGTGTCCTATCCTATTTTGACAAGTAAAACACCGCATTGACCTACACGACCATGTTGTCTACAGTCTCCCTAGAGTTCTAAGCCTGAACGAGGAGATTCCAAAGAGAGGTCCCAGCCTACGGTTGGCTTCTCTCCCTTCCCATCCTGGTCTCCACTGTGCACAGAAAGGGGTCTTGGACATAGCTATGACACTGAGGCTGCCCTTCTAGCTCTTTCCACACCCATGATAAAAAATGTACCTTAACCTCCCCTCTGGCTCAGCCTGGGAGTTTTCACACTGGCAGCCCAGAAGGACAGACCAAAAGAGGCCTGGAACCCTGAAAACAAGCACAAGGCTGCTGGAGCTGGGGATTCTACATTTTACCACGAAGCAAGTTTAAGAAGGGGTGTTGGTGGAGAATCTCTTTACTCTCTAGAGGAAGTAACAGTCAGGGGAGCCAAGACTGAAAAGTGTTTGGGGACAATACAGAAGGCTAACAGCTGTCCCCCAAATGCCTTGTGTCATAGGAGAGATATAAAGTCTGCTTCAGTTTTTAAGGTAATTATCTAAATATCGCTTACTGTCTATTTATTTATTTATTTATTTATTTTGTACCAGGGATCAAATTATCTAAATATCTCTTTGGTCACTGAATTAATAAATTTGCAATTACAGACCATTTTTAAATTAATCTTATTGTAAGCAGTCAAAATGTATGCAATGTAGATAAAACTATTTTCAGAGGCAATTTCACTGGCCTTAAGTGGTCTCATAATTAAAGAATGCAAGAACAGGGCCAGGGATTTAGCTCAGCGGTTCGGTGGCCTGCCTTGCAAGCGCAAGGACCTGAGTTCGATCTCCGGTACCAAAAAAAAAAAAAAAGAATGCAAGAACAGAAGCATTGCCTTTTGTTCAGGGTGATATGATACAAGGTTGTGAGGCCTGGAACTGATAAACAATTTTTAGTACTGTAAGAATAACTAACCTAGCTGGGCATGGTGGCGCACACCTGTAATCCCAGCACTTGGAAGGCTGAGGCAGGAGGATCACTGTGAGTTTGAGACCAGCCTAGGCTACATAGTGAGTTCTGGGTCAGTCTCAACTACATAGTGAGACCCTGTCTCAAAAAAACAAAAAACAACAAAACCAAAAGAATCACCAGCCTGAACACCAAATCAAACAACAAAACGAAGGCCTGGGACGTAGCTAGTGGAAGAACGTGTGCTTAACATGCACAAGGCCCTCGAGCCCTGGAACTAAATGGATGTGAAAGGGAAGCAGACTTGTTGGCAACATCCATGCAGCCAAAACTGTACATGGAAATAATTTGGAAAACAAATTTTAATTTTATATATTTAAGAGGTTCCAGGTGTTACTGCTTGGGGTTTTATTATTGTTTTTTTGATGCACCAGGCAAATCTAATGTGTAAAAGAAACAGAAGGTATATGGTAAATGTTACATATCTGGTAAAAAACCCCACTTAAGATAAGAAATATGTTGAGAGCCACGGCTGCTCCCAACCCAGCCGCCATCGCTCAAGCGCCGGGAAGGTAGGGCGCCCCTGAACCCCCATAACCCCCCCACACACTCTCAGACCTCCTGACTGTGCCAGTCTTTGGACCCACTCTGCAAAGACAGAGGTGGTCATCAAGGGTATTTTTCTGAGTTCCCAACTTTGAACATCTTTAAAGAAAGGGCAGGGAAACCTGTAATAGAACATTGAGGAGTTCAACCATTCAGAAGATTAGGGAACTCAATCTGGGCCTTGCAGCCCGAGGTCAGTCAGCGTCATGGGGTTCAGTCATCAGCTAACTGAGATCAGGGGTCTTGCATCCTCGCTCTGTCTGAGCCATTAAATGGTAAATACACTATATTGAAATTTTGTTCACTGCAGACATGTTCTGGACTGCTTTTTTATTTCAATTTAATTCAAATGATCTAAGGGTGATAGACTAGTGACTACCACAGGTGGTCAGTGTCCAAGTTGTGCATGATCTTAATGTGTTGCTGATTGTATCAGTTGTGGTAAAGCATTGCCATTGATTTGATGAGCTGTTTTCTCTGATGTTATGAAGATGAGAATGTCTGTGGGTCGTTAGAGACACAGAAGCTAGGGTGCAACTATATCAGGAAGATTTGGGTGATAATCCAGAGATTAAACCAAGGACAGTCCGACAACAAAAATTAAAATGAGAAAACACTTAAGCAAGACACAAGGACAGACTTCCAGTTTACCAATGGCAAACAGTAGGGCAAATGAGGATGAAAAGGCCAATAGTGAACCAGCAGGACACCCTGAACTCAAAGCACAGGAAGTAACAAAACAGATCAATCAAATTCAAGTCAGAAATAATTTCCCAGATAACCATAGAGATAGTGAGCAAAATGGAAATCGTGATTTGAGACTCTAGAGCAGAAACTGACAAAAAAATAGATGAGCTCAGAACCATGACAGAAGCCATGAAGGCCCAGCATAAGAAAGAAATGGAAAAAATAAACGCCCAACATAGGAAAGAAATGGAATCCATAAAACAGATTCAAACAGATATCCAGGAGATTAAACACT